ATAAATCTTTTAACAACTTTTTTAATGACAAAAAGGAACAGGGTGCAAATATTTGACCTGTATCATACCGGGATTAAGGGCTACCAGGTTTGTTCAAATGGATGACCTTGATTCAATTTCAAGGTCACGGGATTAACTCTTTTGAAATATTTAAACGACTTCTTCTCAATAACCAAAAGACGAAATGTACTGCTATTGGGCCTGTAGCATGCGGGGATAAAGGACTGTCATGTTTGTTCACATTACTTTCAACCTTAGTGTGAACAGGATTATGGCACAGCCGCAAAAGTTGTTTAATTCCTTATCATCTCGTAAAGTATGCACGTCCACACTGGTCACTTGTCTGATGACCGGGTAGTCATCGAAACGTCACACTCTAATCTTCTACCGGTTGTGTTATAATATGAAGGTGACCGTGTAGTCATTGAAACGTCACACTCTAATTTTCTACTGGTTGTGTTATAAGATGAAGGCGACCGTGTAGTCATCGAAACGTCACACTCTAATCTTCTACTGGTTGTGTTATAAGATGAAGGTGACCGTGTAGTCATCGAAACGTCACATTCTAATCTTCTACTGGTTGTGTTATAAGATGAAGGCGACCGTGTAGTCATCGAAACGTCACTCTCTAAATTTCTACTGGTTCTATTGCAATGGTATAATAAAATTATAAGACTATTTCAAATTTTTAAAATTTTAGATTTTAACCTAAATTATATGTGTACGTTTATGGCATTTTCTTTAAAGCTATGAAACAGACAGACCAAATGCTAAATGAGCATCTTTAATCAAAATGATGAAATGAAGTCACCTGCTGATAAATAACAATGTTCATTATCGATAACAATTGTCATTTCCTATTAGACCAACATTGCAATTTTCGTTTAAAGCAATATTATTTACTGACAGTTAGAAATCGAGTTTTCACCTTTTTCCTAAATGAATTTCAAAAAATCTACGGCAATGTAAATATCTTATTAGTTGAATGTGTCAATTCAATTATTTGAAAACAGTTAAATGTTTTAGCAGAGTTAAGTATATACATTTCAAATGAGTTAACTTCATCAACACCCTAAAGTAATGAGTATAAGATTAACCGCTTTAATTTTAATCCGCCTTTTTGTTTCCATGTCTAACATACCTTTGGATAAACATTGGAAACATTTGAATCATGTAATCGTTCTCTTCGGTCAAGGTTATTAATGTAGAACACACTTCGAAGCCGTCCTTTCGGTGTACTGCTGACTAAATATGACGACTTTGGGTATTACAAAGAAGGCGTTCGACAGTTTTGTACTTGTCTCTGATTGTGAAAATGGATTAAGGTAATTAACAAACTTGGTAGTCCTTTATTTCAGTCATTATTTATGCCATTTGCTCTATCTAATGGCTTTATACATTTTTTTTATTCCAGTCGATTTTTTGTGAATTATCACAAAAACAAAGTTGATACCGGTAGGCCGACCGGACCACTGTTTAAGTTCTCTTCCCCTTCCGACAGATTAAGGATTTTAATAAACCAATGTTAGTGAATTATCTTAATGTTTTTATGTATATAGTTGAAATCAGATCACTGTTCTCGTTTAATCTTCAGTCAATGCATAAAACAAAGCATACTAACTCTTTAGTGAACATCATCGAGAGATTTCAGTCAGTGAGCCTCATATTTAAGAGTTCAACTTTTGGCGGAAATATTGCATTACTTTTCAACATACACCCCTTCAGTATCTAGGGCCTCAATGACGTCATCATCTGACAGCAAACGCGTACCGATAGCCTCCTTAATTTTGGAAATAGATGAAAGCCTAATGGAGCGAGATCGGGCGATTAAAGCAGTTGCGCAATCAATTCAAAGTAATAATCGTTAATGGCAACCATGGCAATGACAAACTTGTGAACAGGGATATTGTCCTGGTGGAATAACACACCTTTACTGAGTTTGCTGTGGCGCTTTAGTTTAATATTTTCTCTTAACTGCCCAAGAGGTGTTGCTTAGTATGTGCCATTGATTGTTTGTCCTTTTTGCAGATAATCTATCGTCAGAATACCATCAGCATCCCAGAAAACTCAGGCCATAACCTTTCCAATTGTGTAAGTCTGCCTTCTTTGGCGGGGGTGAACCAAGGTCCTTCCATTGTTTATACTGTTGTTTGGCCTGTGGGGGTGAAATGATGGCCCCACGTTTCATCCATAGTCACAAACCTCTGCAGAAAGTTAGCAGGATCTCCCTAAAAAGTTCAGATTAGCATGCGACAGAGCCAGTCTGGTGTGCTTCTGATCAGCTGTCAGAATTCTTAGTACCCAATGGGCTACAAGCTTTCTCTTTGTAAGATCTTCCGTAAGAATGAAATGTACTCTTTCCCGTGAAATCCCAACTGTACTGGCTATATATATCTCTGTAATTCACCTGTCGGCCATAACAACATCATGGACCATTTCTGGGGTTGCAACAGTGACAGGCCTTTCAGAAGGGGTGTCACTTCCAAGGCTCTGCCTGCCATGCTAAAGTGTTGCCACCCACCTTTTCACTGTTGCATATCAAGAGGCATCATTCCCTTGCGCTGCTGCCATATCAGTATGGATGTCCTTAGGTGCTGGACCTTTCTTACACAAATGTTGAATCACTGCTCTTTCAGCAGTTTTGTCCATTTTGCAAAAGTTACTTGCCTTGTTTACTTTAGAGTGCTACCCCTTTGACATAAACTGACCAAATGACACCAGTCTCGAGTACACAGCCTTAAATACTTGGAAAGTAGTAGAGCACAAAAATACAACCAGTCCTCATAACAATCACAGACAATGGTTCAAAATGGATGGAGATGAGGATTTATTTTTTTCTCCTTTACAGATTTTCCCAGTAACTTATGAGGTAAAAAGATGGACTTTTAGTCAGAACATAAACTTTGATATATGTAGATAGATAGGTAACTGGTGTTCTTCCATGGGAAGTTCGTTCTAAGTCTACTGTTCCTCTGGTAATATAATAAATATATGTAGACCCATAATTACATGTCTTATCTTTTGAGACTAAAGTGAATCGGACACGCAGCATTCAGTCACAATCATTCTTCCTACCAAGGACATTTTTAACGCTTCTCGATCTAGATGTTGATGCTGTATGCCTCAACAGGCATGGCTTCTATTGCTGTATCAGAATCATTATCTTGGCAATATATTCACCATTCATACCGCTGATCAGGTAATTGAAAAATGTGCAATATCAATTTAATTTTGAAGTGATGACAATTTTAACAAATTCTGAAATATATATACATTGTGTATATATACAGACCATTTCATTCAGGAGCTTGTCAGAAGATGTCCATGAACAGTTGATTACATATAATGGCAGGTGATTTTGATTATCTATATAACCTGTGTTCTGATGTCAGTAATTTTATCATCCTTTAGCTAAGTTTAAGTTGTAGCACCTGTCAACAGAAACTTAGTAGTAGATATAATATCTGTTCATCCCTCCAGGACTCGTGTGTCAGACTATGCAGATAAAGAGTGGAACTCTAGAAGACTAGTTAAATCCAAACAGGCGGAAAGAAATTTATTCTAAGATGAATATTGGGAAATGAAAATGTCATAAAATGCAAGAAAAAGAAAACATACATGTTTTAAACTTACAAATATTGGACTAGTTAATTACATGTGTTTAGAATTGAGGGTGTGACAAAGGGTTAGTGTAGTCTAATATTCCCACCCACCAAAACAGAACTAGGAATAAAAACATGTTATATATGTTATTTATTGTCATATACATATATGCTATTGCTGAGCAAATATCTTTAAAATACAGTTCATAAATTACGCATAAAAGTACATATTTACATGATGAGAAAGCATATAAAATAATTCTCAAAATAACTTAAATAATGTGAAACTAATGAAAAAGACCATGGTAAAATTACTATTGATAAATCAAATTAGAATGAAAGTATTCAGAAGTAATATAGGTATATAAAGACTACAAACATCTGAAAAACATTTTATTAAAATAGATCAAAACCTAGTCTTATAATAAATCTGAATTCTATGTTGTAGAATAAGCGACCGCACTGATGTTAAATTAAAATATATTTTACATTTTGGAAGGTGTTACCATTACTAATTATGATAAAGTGTTATTGATATTACAGTCATTATCAGTCCTTTGAAAATTCTACAGTTGAAGAATATACAAATATCACCAATGGCACCAAATGAAGCACCACACATCAACACATTTTAACAATTATACACAATGAGAATTCAGTAATGAAACGCCATTCTCAAATACAGTGCAACAATAGATGTACACATCACCAAACAACAGGTGATTTAATGAAGGCACGTTAGAAATATGCATTTATTAGTAAATTTTGATTTAAACACCATTAATTAATATTTAAACATGTAAATTATCTCGGACGGAGTGTGATGTGGACGGAATACTATAGAATCTAAGTTTTAAATAAACTTATGAAATCCTTATATTTCATCCAAAACTAAATGAACATATCACAGAAAGTGCTTGGAATGACATATGCTTGTGAAAAACACAGACAAATCATTACACTAAATACAATAACAGACTCAACAAGAAGAACAACATATGACATAATAAAAAATAACTGTTAATCACAGATGTTTTATCACACTAGTCATGTGCGTATAATTATAATGTAAATTGTTTAACTTTAATAGCCTTATGCTGTAGTATATCACTTTGATGGGATAATACTGGATTCTTTTCCCATGTACAACTTGATGGTAACTACATTCATACAATGGTTATATAACGTAAATTACATTTGAACCCTTCATATCAGCATAAATAATCTATATCTATTGATATCACAAAAACGACTTTTATTATGAAATTATGTAATCAGCATACATTAATATTTTACATTAAACTGGATTAGAATACGTGATATTAAACTATAGACAGCCTGCTAACCAGGGCATGTTATTACTGTAACATGACGGACATTTCACACACATCAATACTGGTTCTGGTTGATCCAATTCCTGAGAACTATGGCTGGTGTCACGTGCTAGGTTTAGACTTCCATTTCAAGGATCTTGCTGTATCTGAAATATCAGAAAACTGCAGTTTAGTATTTCTATCAAAAACAAATTTAATGTACAATTATTAATACAATGACGAGCAAAAACTTTAAACAAGGATAACATCAATGTCAGATTATAAAGTGCTGCAATCATTTTTCTTCTTGAAAAATACATGTAGCTTATTCAAGTTAAACAATTGATTCTTTTTTCTTTTAAATAAAAATGAAAGAATTCACACCACATAAACTATAAAGCACATCTGCTATAGTGTCATCCAATCACCCTTACCATAGTAAAAATGGGGAAGTACAAACATCACAATTAACGAATGTTGTCCAGGTATGAGATATACAGGGATAAAAAAGATACAGGTGCAACAGTGTTCTATCTACCAATTAAAAAATATAGTGTAATCATCCTGAAAGTACACTAATTGCTATGACTTACCTTTAGATATGAACATCAACATCATCCGTTGTTGATAACTAGCTAATTCCACTTAAATGTTCTAAAAAGTGCATTCTCACCAATATTGTGCCTCATTAATAATATCTATTATTTCTAATGTAATACGTTTAAAAACAATACCAGTGTAATCTTATCTTTTGTTAAGTCTTCCTTTTGGTATGGATACTTGAAGGAGGGTGTTGGAAACCTATAAGGAAAGTCTAGCAATAAGTAGCGACAGAAAACTCTTTCATCAACAACCATTATTATTATCATTTGAAGCCACAATTTAGGCAAAAACCTAATAGAATGAAAAATCCCAAGTAAAAAAACGAAAAAGAAACCCCCCCCCCAAAAAAACCTGAAAAAAAACCCACATTTTTGTTTGCAACTACTTTCATCTAATCACAACAAATCTTTGACATGCTTTCGAAACTCTCTCTGGTATCAATGAGAAAACCTTTTTGACCTTAATTTCATTCACAGACAGCATTTTCTGTCTTCGATCACTGTCTAGCTTAATGAAATAAGATGAATAATAATACAAAACAATGTACTTGAAACTGATCTTGTGCATAACATTTTTGTAACACTCCGGCTAATGAATCAAATATAAACAAAGGGCCATAACTCTGTATATACTTCTGAGCACGAAAGCATGTATCAGAGTGAGACTCTTCACCATACAAAGACATTACTGAAGTATATAACTTTAGTGATCTTAGTTAGATAACAATGTTACATGGCACCTTGTCAGCAATCTAGTCAAAAAGGCATTGCCTTTGTCAATTACCTATTCTAAGAACTTTTATTCAAATGAATTCAATGAAAAAAAAAAAAAAAAAAAACCAACAATAATCATACAATACCAATTTACTATGAGTGTATATCAATCAGGTCAGATTATCTTCAGAAAGACAGTCATTACGTAATGGAACCAAAATACCAATTACACAAATAACATACAACATTACCTAATGCTACGTATACCGTAAAAACCCATGTAATGTCCGCACTTTTTTTCACCGAAAATCAATCCAAAAATGGGGCTGCGGACATTACAGAGATATAGAGGAAATGACAAGGGAGGAATATTAAATTTCTTTCTGGCGTTGATGATGAAGCTCTGAAATGATGTTATTTTGTCTTCATAATCATCAGGGAGGCGTTGGGCAATAGTGGTTCTTCTTCTCACGCTCAGAAGATGACGTTTCATGAAACGGTAGCACCAGTTCATTGAAGCTTTGAAGTGGGTTACCCCGTGTTTACGGCCAATGTAGGATGCTCAGAGTTGGCTTGGACGTGGGCGGGTCGTGTTACTGTATAGTTATCGTTAATTGGCTAATCACACGCTGTCACTCACTCACACTCGAGGTGAGGAGACGACCCAAGCTGTTTATAACACTGCTGGGCTAACCCTTATCAAAACACCAATTATCGAAATGAGGACTTGTCATACCGGTAAGCTTACTGTACCATTATGGAGAATAACTGTTATAAACAATTAAGTGAATTCTTGAATGGTACCTGTACGTTATACACAATGCGACATGCTCTCGGCCATTACGACATTAGCTTACGTGAAATGAAATCGGCAGCTTCAATTTGCATTTTTTACCCGCGGACATTACATGGAAGGTGGGTTTTTCCCCCAGATTTTTGTGTCAAAAAAGCGGTGCGGACATTACACAGATGCGGACATTACGTGGGTTTTTATTTAGAAAACAATTCAACTCACAGCAGAATTTCCTTTCCTTTGTTAATAATTACAAATACAAATTTCAAGAAGATTTGAAATAATAACCATTTCTATATTATAAACCAATTTCCAACAGATTTTAAAAAGCGATTTTGTGGCACAGCAATTAAACTAATAGTTCCCAATACTTAAACGTTAGTTAATAAACAACGATATTAAACCATTTTAGTGAAAAGGAGGCAATTATCAACAAGCACAAAAAACCGAAAATTAGAACACTCCCAAACACACCAAATTAGCAAAAACACATACAATGCCTTCTAATTATCACTGGTGTTATCAAGTGAAGAATGCCGGGATAAGTGTCATTAAATATCATTTTCAAGCACCGGAATGAATTAATGGGTAACATTTACTGGATGTGCACATAATTATCTAACGTTGATTGATACACCACTATTACATATACAGGATGTATCATTTAATATCTAGCAAATTGGGTTAACAGAACTCCAGCATACTTTCAGTTTTGTATAAATCTTGACAAAATGTTTCAAATATAATATACAGGCCAAGAAAGTATATGTGAAAACAAAACGATTTTAAAAATGTTAAAAAAAAAAAGGTTCTTCAGGAGTAAAACTGTTGTTGAAATAGTGCGGGGAAAACTCTTGCTTGTATGGCGTATCCTAGCCAAATTCAATATCGGGTACTTTTCAACACCATTTAGATTTTATATACATTCTTCCTATTCCAATCAACAAAAAAAATGCAAACATTTTTTAAAAAGGAATTCACACAGTTTGGAAGTGAAGGTCAAGGAGTTGGGAAGTGAAGGTCAAAGATAAGATATTTTGCATGCTTGGAAAATGAAAATGTAAATGATTTAGATTATAAAATAAATGACCATGCCATATTTGAATATATTGTGTTTAGTTACATGCCTCCAACGTAGCCACCACTTTAAAATCATATGACGTCATCTGTGTTTCCATGACGTCATGTCATTTAGTTTGATCAAGCAAACGTCTAGAATACAAATGAAGATGTTATTCTATATCCTTTGTTATCACAATATAAACACTGGATAGAGCAATCAATGAGTTCTTTGTTCATAGGAAACACGGACAAGTGAATAGGGACAAACATAGCATTATTTTGATGATGAGACAACGCAGGTACAGATAGGCACTAAGGTGTGATAAACGTTGATATACATAAAGTGATATGAAAAGTTAGGTGAGAGATGTGTTGTATGAGATGTGTGGCGTTAAAGGAAGATGAACGAGTTAAAACAGAGACCATTAACAAAATATTCAGTTGGCAAATGTTCCATTTTGTTAATTTTTCTCGCCCACCCCTTCAATGATTACAGGAACATTTGGCAAATCTCTTTTATCTTGTTTTCATGATCTTTTAGCTGTAGTCCAAGTTCTTATGTCAATAATTGTAATATAGAGTCTGAGAATTATAAAGAAATAGAAGGATTGTACCAATAAGATATAAATAGCACTTTAGAATACAAGCTTAGAAGGCAACATGCAGCTGTTTCCTCCTTCTAGGATTTGTCAGTCACACTGACTGTCTTGAAAGTCAATAATGAATAAAATCAAAATTGGTTGAAATCAATGTCAAAATATAGATTTGGAGCTAGACTAATATCATAAATCAATTGTATAGTTTTAAACACCGGACAACTTCAAAGTAACATTACGAAGATGTGGAAATACAGAACTGCACCACTAACTGTTCTACGGCAGTTGAATGGAAACTAAGGGTATTGGACAAAGTCAAAGTTAAGAGACCCAATGAAGCAAAGATAAGTGTATATAGACAATAGACAGCAGCACCCACAGGTGACACACCCTAAATAACTACTATCAACATTTACATCATAGACTGCCACTATATCAATTCAAATCCCACTGGTCAACAGGACAGTTGATGGACATCAAATTACACCCTGCCAACAAAAGAGACTTCAAGGACATCAAATTACACAGGTCAAAAAAAGAGATGATAGACATCAAGTTACACTGGGCAACAAAAGAGTTCAAGGACATCAAATTACACCCTGCCATCAAGAGACTTCAAGGACATCAAATTACACAGGTCAAAAAAAGAGTACATGGATATAAAATTACACTAGGCAACAAGAGAGTTGATGGACATCAAATCCCACTGGTCAACAAGAGAGTTGATTGACATCAAATTACACTGGCCAATCAGAGATTTGATATATATCAGAAAGCACAGGTAAAATGTTGTAGCAGGTCAATTATGTTCCCTGTCATAACTTGGAGAAGGAGTGCAACAGAGCATGAAAGAGGCAATTTGAAATTTAAGAATCATTTAGTTTTTGCAGCTATAACAGAGGAACTTGGTGTGTAAAATTTACATGATGCATGACTGGTTAGTTTGCTGCTGTTATAACATAGAATGTGATTTAACTTGGAAATTTGAAATGCATATGAATTTACTAGTTACTATTGGTTAAAATAGATATGTAATATGACAATTTGATGATATGTTCATTGACAAATAATGGCAAATTTTGCTAACATATAAATTATATTTGTGATATTGAAATGTAGCTAATGAGATGAATGATAAGAAATATGAATATATTGCTTTTTTCTGATAAACTATTCAAAACAAAAGAAATGTTTTTGTCAATCAAAACAACTCTATGGAACGCATGTTTTGTAATCATTAAAGGAGAAACAAGCCTGATTTGATGAAGCATCAAAGTAACCGCCACATTTATAATGTTCCGTTAAATATCAATTAGTATCGATATCCTAATTCTGAAGTTAGATCTTTTAGAAGAATGATTGATGTAATAATGATGATATTCGGAATAGAAGTGACAAAT